TAAGCAGACAATGAATCGAAGGTTACTTTTGCACTAATCACTTGCTATGTTCTATTCACAATTTTGATTCCTTTTTTGTTACAGTCTTCAAGAAATCATATGTGTGTCCAAACATACAGTGTTTAGTGTCTGACTGCAACGTTGACAGTGACTGTAGRAGTGGTATGAAGTGCTGCAGTGGTTGCTGTGCAGTGCCGGGTAAGTAATACACAATAWACAATACGCATTCGTACCATCAAGCAAAGTATGGTACAAAAAATATAGAGTGTAAAGCCTGGTTCACACGAGCAACGTAAACGCAAACTCAACAGAAAAAAAAACTAAAATTGCCACAAGAGGCTGGGTTGACAAAGACAAAGCCGAATGCTGTTCGGATGCGGATCGGACATGCAGACAAATAGGGTATTTTATTCCACGCTTTGCGACCTCAGAAAAACTAGGAAAAACAGCATCAATGTTTTGGATCTTAGTAACGATACCATGGATTTAATTTTTAATTCACTTTTCCCGGCCTCCTTTTATAGAGAAACCAGAGAGTTATTAGCTAGTTGTCCAAAGATATAGACAGRCAAATAAGAAGACGTCACGTACAGACAGACGGGCWAGACAGAGAGAAAGAAAAACTGATTTCAATTTTGCCATTTTATCTTCTTCTTTTTTTATTTTAGTGAAACCAAAGCCACAAGGTAAATGTCCAAACATACAGTGTTTAKTGTYTGACTGCACTGTTGACRAGGACTGTAACAATGGCATGAAGTGCTGTAGTGGCTGCTGTGCTCAGCCAAGTAAGTAGAATGAAGAGCAATAGCGCAGCGCAACCRTGACGTCATAAAAACGAAGACAAAGGCGAAATTCGGACAAACAAATTACAAGTTWACTTTCAGCAGATAATTTTCACAGCCGATCGCAKTTGATCTTAGTTTACATGGRCTATTATTGTAACTTTAAGTAAAAATAATARAATCGGCTCGTATAATCCTTGTAGCGGTTAAACAGAATGCAATGTTTGWCCGAATCTTTAAGCTATTTTTAGAATCAGTGCGCTGCGCTATTAATATACATAAAGAGGCATGGCATGCAGTGAAAAATGCAGACAGACTTCCTATTATCGAAAAGCGAGCATAARATAAATAACCAACGTTAATTAATACTGACTTTATTCGATGGATCTTTTTTCTCAGTCTAAAGACCGAAAGACACGTGGCTAATGCAAGGACAAGATGAGGATGTTGCAACATTGAGATGAAACTAATGAAGCCTGTTCTGATGTTAATATTTCATTGTTTAGAGAAGAAGAAAACTCCTTAACCCTATGACAAGTGTTTATAAATGATAATAAAAAATCAAATGTACTGTGGCAGACTAAAGATCAGACAAAAAATTGAAAACGTAATACAAGCAAACCTAGCTTTTAAAAAACTCGACTTGTATCAGCTATGGCTTAATAAAATCAAATTCAAATGCATAAAATTCATAGCAAATGAGTGTGACATTATTTTCTCGTACTCGATCAAACTTCACAGGGCAGAGACATCCTTACCAACGAAAAGTATTAACTTGCTTAATTATACAGCTTCTCATTAATCCCATATAGGTAACTGTCCAATTATTTAAATAGGCAGCTATATAATTCATAATAGGTAATGGGATTCCATGCTCCCAAATCAAGAAATAATTAGACTCGAAAAATTCCTCTGACTGCCAAATTGGACTCAGCATACGGCCTCATCCAATTTTGTCAGTCCTCGGAATTTTCCTCGTCCAATTATTTCTTAATTGGACAGCATGGAGCCCTATTTCATATGCATATCCAAAACATAAACTTTTATATCAAACACTGAAAATTATAACTCTACTTACGTCTTATGGCGTCCAAGAAACCGGTTCGTAGAACTGATACTATAAATCAAGGCGGTGAAGGGTTGCCAACCAGGAGTGTTTTAAATATACGAATGAATATCCCCAAGAGGATTGAAAGAGTGAAAAGCGTGCATTGTAAATAATATCGTGAATTTAAAAAAGAGAAACCATTGAATGTTCTTAATCAAATGTGAAAATCCAAGTCCCCTGATTTGCATCTCAATATTTGTTTTTAAAAAAATCGCTGTTGAAAACGGTCACAAAAATCTAGTTTTTGTGTCCAAAAAGGTCAAAAATGCTGTTCCGCTGCCATCCATTCTCCTATAAATCTCTTTCAAAGGAATGAGAAGGACCCCCTGAACCAAATCTTGAATTTCTCTCGCTGTACATTAGCTACGATCGTAAAATGAAAAGTTTGAACCTCTGGTATCCTTTCCAGATACTCTCTTTTGCCGGTGATGTCATGCGTGATATCAAGTACCTTGTTTTGTTTGCATATGGTCCACGCCTAGCTGGCGTTCGTATATAGAAAATCCTGCCATGGTGAACGTTTTCCAAAGCTTTTGATCGGATTGTTCATAATGTGCTT